GGGCGTCCGGCACGCTCTTCGTCGTTCACATCTTCTCGGCCCTCTGAGAACATTTTGTACCACCGATAAACGTTGCTTCGGTCCAAGGTAGCTTCACCATATGCCACAGTCAACATTCGGAATGCGTCCGCGCACTTAATTTTGTTTTTCACACAAAATTTGATACAGATTCTTTGATCCATTTTTTGGATCAGGCAAAAATCGAAGACGAGCCAAAACACGTGCAAGCAAAGCAGCTGTCAAAAATTAACTGAACATTCAAAATGGCCGAACTTGTCGGCATAAGTGAGAGACATGAGTACCAACATAACGCCACAAAAAAATCGAAAATCGAATATACGTAACCCGCGGAAATTAAAAATTCGCGATACTTTTTGAACAGACCTCGTATACATGAAAAATGTATATGAAGTAAAAGTAATTCAAAATTTTTTCCTATATTACAAGTATTATGATATAAAGTACATTTTTCATGTAATCATTTAATGCATTGAATTCAAACTGCACACTTTGTGTGTTTAGGCACAAATTTCGCCCGCTAAAAATGCCATATGTGCCAAACAGGTGAGATATACAAGACATCAAGCTAAACAAGAAATACAAGAGCTAAGCACTTATATTTTGCTATATTTAATTCTTTATTATACACTTATCACTAAATAACTATTAAGCCTTTTGTACTCCCTATAGTAATTATTTTATGTAGATTATAATGGCTGCGCTATTTACTACATCGGTAAATCGATTCAACTTATAGTGGTTTTATTAATATTAACAGTAGAGACATCGAGTAGCTCGGTGCTCGGTCTGTGCTAGCAATAATCCGTGGATCCGGATTCGATCCCATCCGCGCCTCACATATACAGAAAGTTTACTTAAGGTATTTTTCCGAGAAATTGAGTTTCTACAGATTTTTTTGAAATTTGGATATTATGTTTAGTACGTTTAAAATAATTTTATCTATATACGATTAAAATTTCAAAAATCCTAGCGGTGTCAAGATGGAGATATTCACCTTCGAAGTTTCAGCTTTTTATATGTAAACTCTTATATCACGTCTTGCTGAAGTATCATTTTAATATTTTGCGGTGAAAATCTACCGATTTTTTGACAAAATAAATATGTAATGTAAAAATATTATAGGAACTTTATTTTTAAAAAATGGGGCGGCCTCTTACGGTGCCGTTTCTGAATTAGAGTAGTTTAAATTTGTAATTTGATAAAATTCTCCTTCTCGCACATCGAGCGGTGAGACAGGGATATACTATTACATTCTACTATTTCATTCTACTATCTATCTATTTCAACTGTCAGCGGACTAGTGCTTGTGCACACAGAACATTTATGCGTGTGTGTACGTTCGCCTCAAAAGTTTCTCTCTTCAGAGAGCACGCGCGGAGAGGCATATTCGTAGATTGTATGCAATTAATTTTGTAGCGCGATTGTAGCCGGAGAAATACCTTCAAAAGGAGCTTATTGCTCCATCTGTGCGATTAAAAATTAGAAGACTTAAAGTTGTGAATTGCCTAAAAAGCTTAAAAGATTTTGAGTAATTATTCAGATTAATGGACACCTTGACTTTGATATATGTAATCAAAGTCATGATCCTAAGTGACTTTCAAAAAGTTTTAGGACGATCACTGTTCAAAAGTTATTAACAAATAAATTTTAAGAAATGTCTTATTTCTGCTGCATATTGATAGGCATATGATTTTTCAAGCGATTTCGACTTCACCTGCCATGGAGCGTACGACTTTCTGTGTGAAGCGATGTTCATTCAATAACAACGGTATAAAGACTCTTTATGTATAAACAAAATAAACAAAATAAATGGCGAAAAAGAGTCGTCGCATAATATATATAATTAAAGATAACAGTCAAAGATACATAAAATAAAATAAAATAAAAAGTACAACGGCGTATATTAAAATATAAAACAAACAAGTTTCGGCTGCTGGATTGAGCCCTCCTCAGATGTAAAAAGAATATAATATAAAAGATATAAAAAGAACATAAAAGAATACAACAGAGAAAGATAATAATAAATCGATAACATTCAGTGACGCAACATTTTTAACGCGCGGAAATCAGCAAATGTGATGGATCTCGACGTAGCTTAATGTTGTATGTGCGATAGGGCAATCAAACCGATGTTAAGAGACATAGTCAAGTGCTGACTGAAAAACGGAAAAGGAAGGGAACTCATAAAAGACAAGTAAACTAAAAAACTTTAAAACTTAAAATCAAAACACGCCGCAGATAAGAAGCCAAGTGCTCACTCACCAACGCATCCGAACAGGAAATGAAAATCGCCGCAATGCATGACAAGTGTGAAAATCCCTGACAATGATAGGGATGTAATCGTCGAAGTCAGACATGTCAACATCGCACATGACACCGAACGCTCGCTAAGACGGCACGCGACGCACTGAGAGAGGAGACGGGTCGACAGGATCGAAAGTCAGACTTTGTTTATTATCGGTAAATATGCCTTATTAAGACCCTCGGTGTCGGTCTG